GCTCACAGCTGATCATTCAAATACTTTCTATGGCCTCCCCAGGCATTGTTTAAAGTGATATATGCTGTGAATAATGGTCTAGACGGGGTGGGGGGACTACAAATGATGATCACAAAGCATTGTGGCTAATCAGTGTTGGACTACGCAAATACATTGTTGACGCTAATAGCGCATCTTCATCCAGGATCTATTTACTGCTAGATGCCGATGCTGCCTTTGCCGTATTCGGCAAAGATCGGGCTCATAAAAAAAAAATCATATGGCAGTCGGGAGGCTAAATCGGCCTCCAAGCAGCAAAGGTGGATTGCGTGAGCGACGCTCACAACAACGAGCAGAGAGCTCCGGGCGGATAAAAACAAAAAAAACACGGCAAAACGTTGGCAGTAGTGATGGGAGCAAATTTAAAACCCACAACATCTGGGATGTGAGATCAGGGCATAATTCTGGATCACCTCCCCGAGGTCGAATAAGACCTAAACGTGCGCGTTGCATAACACCGCCCGCGTGTTAAGCGGCCACACCAACAACGCGTGGAGGGATTTCTCTCTCATACAGCAGCAGGAGTTCGGGGGGGGTCTCCAACAGCCTTTGCATGATACACAGCGGGATGATGTCTGTGTGATGATGCTGATGATGACAGCGTGCGAAGCGAGAATGAATACCGAGGGAGTACGAAGCTCGTGGAAGCTCTTAAGGAAGCACGTGGAGTCGCCGGTACACGGGTGAAGTCGTGCATGAGTGACAGTATGTGAGTGACAGTATATGAGATAGAGTGAGTGTGAGAATGTGTATGGGGAGCGGTAGTGTAGCGGTTAGCGCGCTGCGCTACAAACCTGGCGACCCGGGTTCTGGTCCTGGGCCTCCCCTACGTCGACTCAGCCTCAAATTAGTACCTGGTGCGATGTGTAAACATCGCCACTGGGGAGACAAAGGCGGTGGGGCGTGGTGCTGGCCACCCACCCCTCTCGTGTGCCGTGCCGGCCTTCATAGGTGCTCGCTAACAGCACTTGCCCCTACAGTCTGTAAAGCCTACACGGGGGATCTTTGTATTTGTATGCGCGGTAGTGCAGCGGTTACGAACCTCGGCTCCTCGAGTTCGATTCCCGCTCACGGCCAATACCAACCTCAAATGAGTCGGGGCTCGCTAACAGCACCTGCCCCAAGAAGCAAGTTTGCGTAAATGAATGAATGAGTGTATGAGTGACAGCGGGTATGAGTGAATGAGTCACAGTAGACATGAGTGAGGGAATGAGAGCAGGTATGAGTGAATAAGTGGGTGAATGAGTGACAGCAGGTATGAGTGAATGAGTGAGTGTATGAATGAGTGACAGCCAGGGAGAGTTACACGAGAGCTCGATAGAGTGTTGTGAGTGCGAGAGAACTAGACAGTGTATGACAAGAATAGTTTAGAGCCAGTGAGAGTGGTGTATGAGTGAGTTTGAGCCAGGGAAAGTTTTGCATGCGTGAGAGTCAGGGAGAGTGGCGCGTGAGCGAGACCCATGGAGAGAGCGGTGCATGAGTGAGCGCCAGGGAGAGCAAGGGAGAGTTGAATGAGAGCCAGGGAGAGTTCAATGAGTGAGAGCCAGGGAGAGTTGGATGAGTGAGAGCAAGGGAGAGTTGAATGAGAGCCAGGGAGAGTTCAATGAGTGAGAGCCAGGGAGAGTTGGATGAGTGAGAGCAAGGGAGAGTTGAATGAGAGCAAGGGGCAGTTGCATGAGTGAGAGCCAGGGAGAGTTGGATGAGTGAGAGCAAGGGAGAGTTGAATGAGAGCCAGGGAGAGTTCAATGAGTGAGAGCCAGGGAGAGTTGGATGAGTGAGAGCAAGGGAGAGTTGAATGAGAGCCAGGGAGAGTTCAATGAGTGAGAGCCAGGGAGAGTTGGATGAGTGAGAGCAAGGGAGAGTTGAATGAGAGCAAGGGGCAGTTGCATGAGTGAGAGCCAGGGAGAGTTGGATGAGTGAGAGCAAGGGAGAGTTGAATGAGAGCCAGGGAGAGTTCAATGAGTGAGAGCCAGGGAGAGTTGGATGAGTGAGAGCAAGGGAGAGTTGAATGAGAGCCAGGGAGAGTTCAATGAGTGAGAGCCAGGGAGAGTTGGATGAGTGAGAGCAAGGGAGAGTTGAATGAGAGCCAGGGAGAGTTCAATGAATGAGAGCAAGGGACAGTTGCATGAGTGAGAGCAAGGCAGAGTTGAATGAGTGAGAGCAAGGGACAGTTGGATGAGTGAGAGCAAGGCAGAGTTGAATGAGTGAGAGCCAGGGAGAGTTGAATGAGAGCCAGGGAGAGTTCAATGAGTGAGAGCCAGGGAGAGTTTTGTATGAGCGAGACCCATGGAGAGTGGTGCATGAGTGAGAGCCAGGGAGAGTTGGATGAGTGAGAGCAAGGGAGAGTTGAATGAGAGCCAGGGAGAGTTCAATGAGTGAGAGCCAGGGAGAGTTGGATGAGTGAGAGCAAGGGAGAGTTGAATGAGAGCCAGGGAGAGTTCAATGAATGAGAGCAAGGGACAGTTGCATGAGTGAGAGCAAGGCAGAGTTGAATGAGTGAGAGCAAGGGACAGTTGGATGAGTGAGAGCAAGGCAGAGTTGAATGAGTGAGAGCCAGGGAGAGTTGAATGAGAGCCAGGGAGAGTTCAATGAGTGAGAGCCAGGGAGAGTTTTGTATGAGCGAGACCCATGGAGAGTGGTGCATGAGTGAGAGCCAGGGAGAGTTGGATGAGTGAGAGCAAGGGAGAGTTGAATGAGAGCCATGGAGAGTTCAATGAGTGAGAGCCAGGGAGAGTTGGATGAGTGAGAGCAAGGGAGAGTTGAATGAGAGCCAGGGAGAGTTCAATGAATGAGAGCAAGGGACAGTTGCATGAGTGAGAGCAAGGCAGAGTTGAATGAGTGAGAGCAAGGGACAGTTGGATGAGTGAGAGCAAGGCAGAGTTGAATGAGTGAGAGCCAGGGAGAGTTGAATGAGAGCCAGGGAGAGTTCAATGAGTGAGAGCCAGGGAGAGTGGTACATGAGAGAAAATGAGAGTTGAATGAGTGAGACCCATGGAGAGTGGTGCATGAGTGAGAGCCAGGGAGAGTTGAATGAGTGAGAGCCAGGGAGAGTTGAATGAGAGCCAGGGAGAGTTGAATGAGAGCCAGGGAGAGTTCAATGAGTGAGACCCATGGAGATTGGTGCATGAGTGAGACCCATGGAGATTGGTGCATGAGTGAGAGCCAGGGAGAGTTGAATGAGAGCCAGGGAGAGTTCAATGAGTGAGAGCCAGGGAGAGTTGAATGAGTGAGAGCCAGGGAGAGTTGAATGAGTGAGAGCCAGGGAGAGTTGAATGAGAGCCAGGGAGAGTTCAATGAGTGAGAGCCAGGGAGAGTGGTACATGAGAGCCAGGGAGAGTTCAATGAGTTAGAGCCAGGGAGAGTTGAATGAGAGCCAGGGAGAGTTGAATGAGTGAGAGCCAGGGAGAGTTGAATGAGTTAGAGCCAGGGAGAGTTGAATGAGTGAGAGCCAGGGAGAGTTCAATGAGAGCCAGGGAGAGTTCAATGAGTGAGAGCCAGGGAGAGTTGAATGAGTGAGAGCCAGGGAGAGTTGAATGAGTTAGAGCCAGGGAGAGTTGAATGAGAGCCAGGGAGAGTTGAATGAGTGAGAGCCAGGGAGAGTTGAATGAGTTAGAGCCAGGGAGAGTTGAATGAGTTAGAGCCAGGGAGAGTTGAATGAGTGAGAGCCAGGGAGAGTTCAATGAGAGCCAGGGAGAGTTGAATGAGTGAGAGCCAGGGAGAGTTGAATGAGTTAGAGCCAGGGAGAGTTGAATGAGTGAGAGCCAGGGAGAGTTCAATGAGAGCCAGGGAGAGTTCAATGAGTGAGAGCCAGGGAGAGTGGTACATGAGAGCCAAGGAGAGTTGAATGAGACCCATGGAGATTGGTGCATGAGTGAGACCCATGGAGAGTGGTGCATGAGTGAGAGCCAGGGAGAGTTGAATAAGTGAGAGCCAGGGAGAGTTGAATGAGAGCCAGGGAGAGTTGAATGACAGTCAGCGAGAGTTGAATGAGAGCCAGGGAGAGCGGTGTACGAGCGAGAGCCGGGGAGCGTGGTGCATGAGTGAGTCGGGGTTGTGAGTGTGCTCAGCTCTCCGTGTTGCCCGGCCCGCGTCTCTCAACTCCTCGTACGCGCTCCCTCGCTCGCCGTCTCTCTTGTCTCTCTATCCGTGCGTCTCTCTATCCGTGCGTCTCTCTATCTGTGCGTCTCTCTATCTGTGCGTCTCTCTGTCTCTCTATCTGTGCGGCTCTCTGTCTCTCTATCTGTGCGGCTCTCTGTCTCTCTATCTGTGCGTCTCTCTGTCTCTCTATCTGTGCGTCTCTCTGTCTCTCTATCTGTGCGGCTCTCTGTTTCTCTGTCTCTATCTGTGCGTTTCTCTGTCTCTCTATCTGTGCGTGTCTCTGTCTCTCTATCTGTGCGGCTCTCTGTCTCTCTATCTGTGCGGCTCTCTGTCTCTCTGTCTCTCTATCTGTGCGGCTCTCTGTCTCTCTATCTGTGCGTTTCTCTGTCTCTGTCTCTCTATCTGTGCGGCTCTCTGTCTCTCTATCTGTGCGGCTCTGTCTCTCTATCTGTGCGGCTCTCTGTCTCTCTATCTGTGCGGCTCTCTGTCTCTCTATCTGTGCGGCTCTCTGTCTCTCTATCTGTGCGGCTCTCTGTCTCTCTATCTGTGCGGCTCTGTCTCTCTATCTGTGCGGCTCTCTGTCTCTATCTGTGCGTCTCTGTCTCTCTATCTGTGCGTCTTTCTGGCTCTCTATCTGTGCGGCTCTCTGTCTCTCTGTCTGTGCGGCTCTCTGTCTCTATCTGTGCGTCTCTGTCTCTCTATCTGTGCGTCTCTCTGGCTCTCTATCTGTGCGTCTCTCTGTCTCTCTGGTTGTCTATCTGTGCGGCTCTCTGCTCACTCACGCGTGGAGGAGACGGAGAAAGACAACGCGCGAAACAAGCGAGCGAGCGATATCGCATGAGGCAACGAGCCACCCGACCCACCCGTGTTGATGTTCTCGTTGATCCTGAGCGGGGCTCTGAGGATGTAGACGAGCAGCAGCACCATGAGGAACCAGAGAGCCCACAGGTAGCTCCAGGACCACGCCAGCGTCGCCTTGGCGCGCTCCACCAGACTCGCGGCGCCCTCCGCCATGTCAGCGGGCGGCGCGCGGCACTGTGGGAATCCTTAACCGCCGCTGCACATCGCGGCGGTGACGTCATCGCGGCGGTGGCGGCGGGACGTCATCGCGGCGGCTATGAAGTTTTGTTGTCGTTGCAATGACGTCATCGTGGCGGCGGCGGAGATGGGGTTTTGTTGTCGTTAACGCTGGGGGGGGGGGGGTTGTGGTGAAGTCATCGAGGCGATGAGTTTTATTGTGGTTGCGGTGACGTCATAGCGGCGATGAGTTTTGTTGTCTTTAACGCGGGGGTTGCGGTGACGTCATCACGGCGATGAGGTTTTGTCATTAAAACGAGGGTTGCGGTGACGTCACCGCGGCGATGAAGATTGTCGTTAACGCGGGGGTTGCAGTGACGTCATCGCGGCGATGAAGTTTGTCGCTATCGCAGGGGTTGCGATGACGTCATCGCGCGTGATGAACACTCGAAAGAACCAAGAATATGAATCCCTGCAAGTCACGAAAGCTTTAAATCAAAACTCGCGCAGACGTCAACGCCAGAGGTTTGCACCGCGGCGACGTGGTGACGTCATCACACGAGTTTTTGTTTCACGTCATGTCGGCGACGTCATCGCGCGTTGTTTGCAACCTGCGCCGGCGCGGTGACGTCATATCGCGAGAGTTGTCGGTGATGCCGATGCAGCTGCCACGTGCAGAAGCACAACAACAACGTCAACCATCACCACGTGCATCAATAATAACACCGTGCCCTATGAGGAAATTATGAATATAATGCGACGTTTCGGGAAATATGCCCTTCGTCAAAGCACACGATGATGTGCTGTTGAAAAAGGGCCATTGCCTAAACCGTCGCGAATTTTATGTTTTTTTAGCCAGTGGGATTTACATCTTACTACGGCGGTCCCCAGTAATATCCATATAACTACTACCACACTTGACTTCCTCACACAGCGGTGCCGATTTTATCCGCCCCCGTGGGACGGTGGGATGATGGGCTGAGTCAACCCCCCAACCAACATTCGAATCCGCAAACCCTACCGATTGCAGCTGCTCGTTCTACATATCGAATCAGAATATTTATACCGCAGGAAGAATCCGATGAGCTATAAAGAGATTCTTTCACGGATGTCCAGTTAGGGGTTGGTCAGACCGTTAACAACAACAAACAATACAAAAACACGATAGGAGTGCAAAGTATAGGAAAGGTAGACAAATCACTTAAAAATATATATGGAAATAAAACTAGAATTTTATCTTTCCATATACACATTTGAATACAGTATAAAGTGTTCCTCGTGTTTTGAGCGTATTTAAGCACCGTTTCAATATGGGCAACATTTTTATTTTATCTTTGTGTATTTGTTTGTGTTACTGCCTTGCGATGGGACTTTGTAGGATGAACTTTGAGATTTATAAGGGGCACGGGGTCACCAATAAGGTCTGAATTGGTCTGTAATAAGATTGGGCACTAGTAAGGGAGGTTGACTGGTATGGCATTATGTTTGTTGTTGTAACGTTCTTACACCCCGTGCCCCTACTAAACAATCTGTGACAAAGAGCTTTATAGCTCATCGGATTCCTCCTGCAATACAAGATTCTGATTAATTAAATAAAAACAATTCTCATCCCTTACCAATATGGCGCTCGGCACGTGCGTCGCACGACCGGGCCGACGTCACAGCGCGTCACGCCACGTGGGGTCGCAGGGGTCGCGGTGCCGGGAGACGCGTGGTGGTGGGAGCAGCTACAATGGCCTCCGCGCTGGAGACTTACGTAAACCGTATCCTCTTGCTTGTCGCTGCTGCTGCTCCTCCTCGCCCTCCTCTTGCAGGGAGCACGCGGGGAGACAGGGGGTGCACGTGGCGGGGGACAAGGGTGGAGAGGAGTGGGGACACGTGGAGTACGGGAGAGCCCCGCTACTGGCTGGGTCACACACGGGACAGGACCGCACGAGAGAGACAGAGTTAGAGGAACACGCCACGCAGGGGATACGCGGGAGACAGAGGGACATGGGGGGGACCCCACAGGGAACGCGGGGAGGATGGAGAGGGTGACGGGGGAGGGGGAGATGGAGGACGCGGGTCGCATCGGAGTTCATCACAAAATAATTCGTGAACCCCCTCGCTGACCGGGCAGGGGTCAGCGAGGGGGTAGGTGGGGGTTGTGGCGAGGGGATACTAATAACAATACTGCGACTATAGCCAGCCGTGTCCCGTGGCTCGAACCTGGGTGGGCCTGGCAGTCGGGGGGGATGCGAAAAACGTCGGGCAGCTGTGGTGTGTTGTGGTGTGCTGTGTTGTGGTATGCTGTGGTGTGGTATATTGTGGTGTGGTGTGTTGTGGTATGCTGTGTTGAGGTGTGGTATGTTGTGGTATACTGTGTTGTGTGATGTGGTGTGTTGTGTACTGTGGTGTGGTATGTTGTGGTGTATTGTGGTACACATGTAATAGCTACTACACATGCAGTAGCTACTACTACACATGTTGCTACTATACATGTAATAGCTATTACACGTGTAGTAGTTACTACACACATGTAGTAGCTACTACACATGTGTAGTAGCTACGGGTAGTATGTGTAATAGCTACTACATGTGTAATAGCTATTACACATGTAGTAGCTACTACACATGTAGTAGCACGTGTAGTAGCTACTACTACACGTGCAGTAGCTACGGGCCCCGCACTTTCAAGGGCCCCGCGCTAAATGCTTTCAAGCTATCAATTCCGATTAAGTGATTCCGCACTTGCTTTATTACTATAGTACTATACTGCCTTAAACTTTTACGAACGACTGGGTGTTTAAGGTTATCGATTTGTCGTATTATCTGACTGTATAGCTAGTTAAAAAAAACAATTACTTTACTGTGCAAGTTAAAAAAATGCGCGTTTTGATATTTATGTGGTTGTTTTTTTTAATTTAGGGCCCACTTTATAACATGTGCTACAGGCCCCGCACTATCTTCATCCGGCACAGAGGCGCTGCAGCGTCCTTGCTGTGACGCGTCGGTAGAGCGAACGGTTGATGGCCAAGCCACGTTCATAGTTCATAGTTCATTTATTTGGTATAGCCCTGTGAGCCATTCGGCTCTTGAATCGGGTGCAACCGCAACAAACAAAAAACATGAACAAGAAAACATCTTAAAGTGATTATGTGACTGTGCAAATAGAAAATACAGGAAAAAAAATCAAAATATTCCTGAAATAGCACCGTACACCAACGCTGTGTGCAAAAATCCCAGTGGGATGCAAGTCAAACAACAACAACAACAACTACAAAACTAAGATTAAGGCCATCAGTCTAACTCCGTACTACAATAAACAAAAACATGGCCAAAACAAAAAAAAACGTTTTCGAAATCACCAAAATAAAGCCATAAATCCAATGTAACAGTGATAATAGTGACTGTGACCGAATTTTTAACAATAAACTACATTAATAAATTATAACACCAAAATCTAGAGCCATATTTTAGGCCACTGAATAGCAGTGGCAGCTAGGGTTGTACAACTCGAGCAGTTTTGAGTGAAGATCTCATAGGTAGTGATTCAAGTTGCAGTTTATTGGAAATAGCATTCCAGACCCTGGGGACGTTGGCACGAGGAAGCCTGGCATCATCCGATCTAGCGCAGAGGCACGGTGCAGAGGGACAGGTTGGACGATCCTGCCGTCTCCCCGTGTGAGTGTGCGCGTGTGCGTGCTTAGTTTTGATTGCAGGAGGAAAAAAAGAGGGCGCAAAGCAAGTTCAGTACTGTGTAGGCGCGTTGTGTGACGGAGCGCGTTACGTGTTGTGTGACGGAGCGCGTTATAACGACGCGCTGTTCCGCGTTGTACGAAAATTGTTCCCTCATTTAATAACCGCGTTGTAGCGAAATCGCGTTGTGTCCAACACCGGGCGTTGAGCGAGGGCTTGCCGTACCTATTCACCCGCCCTTCACGATTGTGTTGTGCTATTGGAAACTGCATTGGCACGACACGATAAATAGGCGGTATGATTACACAGTTTCATGTAACGTGCCTATTTTTAACTTCTTTCGCACCGTACGCAGCCAACCGTGCTAATCGGGGGAATGGACGCCAAACCAAACACAAAAAGCAGCTCTAAAGAAATTCGTTTTCAATGTAGATTTAAAAGTGCAACAGCTCCCAGTGGCTTCCTCACATCTGGAAGGAAGAGCGTTCCAGACGGCCGCAGAAGCGCATCCGAAAGTGCGCGATGCGGTGACCGCCTTTGTTCGATGGTCAGCCAAAAGCCGCCGCCGCCGCCGCTGCTGCTGCTGAGGATGACCGGAGTTGGCTTGACGGTTTATGTCCTGCCTTGATGCATTCTTGTTGACACGTGGTTTCCCTTCGGTGTCAAGTCAAAAATGTACAAACTTACCCCTGGCTCGGCCAAGTTTGTCCTTAACTCTAGGTTCCCACAGACACGGTCTCCGTCATCACTGCAGACGGGAGGATGATCGTGGTAAGCGGAGTTCGTGCTCGTTGAGTTGTTTTTTTTTTAACCTCGCTCGTCAAACGCTCCGCTAAGGAGTCTGCGCTGCCTGAGGAGAATGCGCGGGCGCACAAATCTGATGAAAATGTGCTCAAGTTTTGTCGTCGACGAAAATGTAATTCTGGAGTGCAGCGGCGGTGGTTACGCACGTGGCGTGTGATCCGGCACTGGAGGAGGGGAGGGTTGGTGGATCACGCAAATGTTGCTTAACCCCCCCTCCCCCTCCCCATGGTCGTCGAGAAGCCCATATTGTGGCTTGCCAGCAGAAGGCGGTACGGCGAGTCGAATAATCGCCATCTGTTTCCATCTGTATGGGTATAGAGTGTTGCCCCCTCGCACGCGCGCGTGGGTTTTCTCGGGGTGCTACAGTTTCCTCCAATTCGTATAACAATCGCTCATATATTACTCGTTCATAAAGCCTGTCTTCGCCGGGCAAAAAGTTTTCAATAAACAAGATTTTTTTTGGCAATATTTATCTACTATCAGACCATGAACAACTACTCCAAAAATGTGTTTTTCCGTGAGAAAAAAAAATTGTTGATAACTTGATTTAACTTCTTATATTTAAAGACGTACCCATGGGAAACCACTCAATTTCTAGATTCCGTTTTAATAATAAAAAAACTCATATTTATCAACTTAATAGTCTAAAAGGGGAAGCTCTCCTATCTTTTACCGTTTTCGAATTATTCAGATTTGAACATCGTAAAATGCGAATTTTTTTTTTATTTTGAAACCGCCTGAAACCGAAATATCTGAAAACAATAAGAGATAGAACAATGGTTTAACGCTCTAGCAAACGAAACAAAACGCAATCTTATATTTTGAACGGTTTCTGAATGACACCACGTGCACAAACATGTTCATGGGGCATTGAAAATCAGGATTTGAGGACGTGAAAATGTAAAAACCTTGTATTTTCATATCTTTCCTGTTGTTGGTGTCCTAACAGCTACATGTGTGTGCCACATTTCCAGCGTTCCACATTGTCGGGAAGTACCCTCGAGGTTTTTGAAGCGTACATACAGATTCAAGTCTTTATTACTTGTATAGAAGATTATAATGTGGTGCCGGGGGTGTGCGTGATATCGCGAGGAGATGGACGAAACAATTCACCTGATGGCAGCGGTCACGTTGGGTATGGTCACACAGTCGCTAAGCGGGGTTGCCTTGCCTGTGCCCACCAGCATTTCTAAAGCCCTATCCGTTGTATGGGATTCCGCAAGCCAGCGACTAATGGATAATGCATTATGAGAAGTGATCAGCAGCAAAGGAAGATGCAGCAGCACTTAAGCCAAAGAGAGGGAGAGAGAGTGTTCATAGGTTGTGCAGTGCATAAGCCGAGTGGTTGTGCATGCTGAAGCTAGTGGCCGTGTTGAGTGTTGTGTGCACCAGTTGTCGCTGGCCATTGTGTTTTACACTGCCTCAGTGACGAGGCTGTGTAGGTAGTAGTGGATGTGCCGAATGGCTTGCGTGAAGACGGTGGTGATGCTGAGTGGCGTGTGTGCAGATGGTGCTGGTGACGGTAGGGGAGTGGTGGCGCTACAAACCCGGCGAACCGAGTTCGATTCCCGCTCACGGCCCGACATCGGCGACGATTATCCGAACCGATCCTGGGCCTCGCTCGGGTCGACTCAGCCTTAAACGAGTATCTTTTGCGATGTGTGAACATCGCCACTCGGCAAACAGATGCGGCCGGGTGTGGTGCTGGCCACCCAACTCCCCTTCGTGTGCCGTGCCGGCCTTCATAGGTGCTCGCTAACGGCACTTGCCCCGACAGTCTGCTCGTGCTGAACGGGGGATCTTTGGTGATGGGCGGTGCTGGGTGATGGCGTCATTGTGGCGTGCGTGAGCGATGGCGATGATGCCGGGCAGCGAAGCCGAGCGGCGTGTGGACGGCTGACGGCGGTGATGGGTGAGGATGGTGGCGGCGACGATGGTGCACGAGTGACGGGTGTGAGTGTGGGGCGGTGATTGCTGGGTGACCGACCGGCGCTCGTGTGCGGCTGCGGCAGGGAACCCTCAAGGGCTTTGACCAGACCATCAACCTCATCCTGGACGAGAGCCACGAACGCGTGTTCAGCTCGAGCCAGGGCGTGGAGCAGGTGGTGCTGGGCCTCTACATCGTGCGTGGAGACAACGTGTGAGTAGCCGCAACGCCGCACGCACACACACGCAGCCACTTTTATACACACAAAGACAAAGATCCCCCGTATAGCCTTAACGGGCTGTAGGGGCAAGTGCTGTTAGCGAGCACCTATGAAGGCCGGCACGGCACACGAGGGGGTGGGTGGCCAACACCACGCCCGGTCGCTGCCTTTGTCTCCCCAGTGGCGATGTTTACTACACATCGCACCGGGTACTCATTTGAGGCTGAGTCAACCTAGGGGAGGCCCAGGACCAGTTTATATAATCGTCACTTGTGTTGGCCGTGGGCAGGAATCGAACCCGGGTGGTCAGGTTCGTAGCGCAGCGCGCTAGCCACTACACTACCGCTCCCCACACACACGATGCCACTTTATACACACACAAACGATGCCACACACACACACGAAAGCCTACGTGTTAAACGAACATATCATTTACTTTCCTTTGTGGAGGAGTTTCAGATTGGAGATCTGAAGATGATCTGGACACCTCCTGCCATACAAAGGAAAGCCTTCATCCAGAAATCAATATTGGCAGTTGATGGCAAAATGTACATCCTGTTGTCAGGTTCATTGGGCACTGTGAAATACCCCCCCCCCTCTTTCCCAAGTGTCTGTAACTGATGTTTTTTGTTTACATTAATTCCACAAAGTCTCGAGTCGGTCGCACGTTACGCTACCGTTTAGATTTCTAGTAAAAAAAAAAATACGGAAAAAGATTTTCTCATGTCGGTTTACTCGGTTCAATCTTGCAAAACGAGACTCCTAACCCAGGATCTCTTGAGTTCTCACCCCGGTTAAACAAAGGCAAAGTGAACGTCGTTACGCCACGCGACCCCCCACAGCTGCCACTCCCTATACGGCGAGCGAGAAGCACGGGCGTCGCGCTGCGACAAAGGCGGTGGTTTGATTCGCGTGACGAGCATTGGGGTGAGGCTCCCCCCCCCCCCCCCCCCCCCCCCCCCCCCGGCAGTGCCCAACATCGCGCGCGTTCGGCACAGCAGGAAGCGCTATTTTGTGAACTTTTCGTCGCTCTCAAAGGTTATCCTGAAATCTTCCAGGGATTCTGAACGGTTTTGCAAAATATGCTGTCAATGTATTTTTTTTATTTTTGGCGGGGGGTGTGGCGAAGAAGATGGCGCTGCTGGAAGCGGGAACGTTTCTAGGGAATCGCAGATCCCTGCTCTCAACGCCACTCCCCGTTTGACGTCGTGCCAGCGAGAGCGCCGTTTTACACGCCCGCCATGAAACCAATTTGCGTACCATCAAAATTGGAATCTCCTTTATCCTGGAGTAAATCCGATGAGCTATGAAGCTCTTTTGTCACAGGTGTCCAGTAATATGAGAATATAAAGTGATGTCACGCTATAATAGGGAAAGCTTTGGCTTGCTGGTTGGCTGCCTGTGGCTGGGTGGCGTGTCGTGATGACATCACGCCTCTCCCCCCCCCCCCCTCCCTGGCCGTGGATTCCACGCAAATGGGAGGCAATTGCTTGTCTGTATAAAAATGGCAGCGATGTTAACATTGGATTACTACTCATCATCAGACGCTAAGAGCCATTAACCGATGTGACGTTATAATGGCCTTCAAAAATACGCACGTACGCGACGCGATGAGCACGGTTGGCTACGTATGGTCCCAACATTCATTGATGTTAACATCCTAAAAGGGCACGTGGATTTTTTTCTCCGGGTCCTCCGGTTTTCCCCTCCACGTTCAGAATCGGCGTGCGTTTTAGAGTATTTGGCTGCGCCTATAAATGTGCACGTGATGAGCCGCTTGGTTTGAGCTGTCATTTGCGGCCAGGTCCCTTCTTGAAAAAGAACCGCACAGCTCAGTCCGGGAACTTACCTGGTAAAATAAAAAAAAATCGTTTCGGGGTATTTCGTTTAAAGCATTCTTTCACGCTGGCTGGGAAAACACTTCCCCGTAGGTCACGGCGTGTCATCCTTGCCGCTGCAGTCACCACTCAAGCTTGTCGCGTGACCCGTTCTGTGCAAACGCAGGTTCGATTTTGAGAGTGGGCGTTCGAGGGAGTGAACGAGGTTGCGTCCGTGCTGTGTGCGCAGAGCGGTGATCGGAGAGATCGATGACGACACAGACGGGGCGCTGGACTTGGGCAACATCCGCGCGGAGCCTCTCAACCCAATCATCCACTAGCCCTGTACCCCCCCCCCCCCCCCCCCCCCCCAGCACTGGCAACCCCATTCTCTTCCATAACCCCTGACCCTATACACACAAAGATCCCCCCTATAGCCTTGATAGACCGATGGCGCTGTACGTAACACACACAGACTAAGATCCCCCCTACAGCCTTAACAAAATAACAAGAAGAGCCACTTGTTTTCGAATCCGGTAAAGACGCCCTCAACATTGCAAGAGCCGCAATGCGACTGTGGTGGTGATCATGAGATGCTGGCGGCCCTCGATAAATGACGTCACAAAGCGGTCCCTTTAAAGATCCACCGCACGCGGCTCTGGAACCGCCGATTGCTGAGCCCTGGGCCAAACCCTACACACAAAGATCCCCCAGTGTAGCCTTAACAGACCGTTGGGGCAAGTGCTGTTGGCGAGCACCTGCGAAGGCCGGCACGGCACACGAGGGGGTGGGTGGCCAGCACCACGCCCGGCCGCCTTTGTCTCCCTAGTGGCGATGTCCACACGTCGTGCGAGGCGCTCAATTGAAGCCGAGTCGACCGAGGATTGGTTTGGATAATCGTCACTGGTGCTGGCCATGAGCGGGAATCGAACTCTGGTGGCCAGGTTCGGTAGTGCAGCGCGCTATCCGCTACACCACCGCTCCCCACCGGATACATGGAACACGCTCGCACGCACACACACACACGTGCATTCTTAGCAAACCCTCGCACTCATTCTACGCAAGACTCTCCCCGCATCCTCCTCGCCGGTCATCACTGCAGCCACTCGCGCTGCCGGCCCCCCCCCCCCCCTTCCGCAGCGTCGCACGCCCGTCCCATTGTCCGCTCGCGTGGCTCTGAGCATCGGGGGCGGGGAGGCCTCACGCGGAGATCTCTCCCCGCCCAGAGACCCCCCCCCCCCCCCCCCCCCCCGCCACTCGTCGTGTTGTCGTTTTCATCATTTTCCCGTTCACGCTTTGGGATCGTGGGCAGAGGCGGCGTGCGGCCGTCCCGGCAAGTTGATCGTGCACGGCAGGGAGGTGACTCGCCTTGCGACCGAATGACCGTTCTCGTCGGTGTGCGGAAAGGCGCGGCGATCGACCAATCCCCGGTCCCGCGTGAAACGCTCGACAGGGAACAAACAAAAATACCGCGGACTCAATTTTTGTATACAAATTTTTTTCTAAGGGGCATACGGCGCACACGGATGGCGTCAACGTGGAGAGTTAATGCCCGTCCTCCCCGTGAATGCAAAACTCAATTGTGTCGTGGCAGGGAAGGAGGCAACGTCGCGGTTGATGGTCGAGTTTTGCCGGCCGCGGGAACGAACACCGTGGCTGGCGGGCGGGCGGGCGGGCGGGCACGTGAACATCGCCTTGGGGGAGCGGTTTACGTTGCACAGAACAGCTTGGGGTCTGTGCAACGCTTCTTGTTATTCCAGTTGTTGTCCATAATACAGGTTTTTTTTGGGGGGTTAGATCGCGTACATATATGAAATGTGTCATTAAACCCGCCACCACCGCCCGACACAGCCAACCAGTAAGGTTTGTCACGTAAACAGAACGTGGCCAATTCGTCACTAGTACAGCGCGCCGGTGTGTTGGAGAGCAGAACCACCACAATTACAACCCGAGCACGACGTTTCGCCAGTAATTACCGCTAGCTTCATCGGGAGCCTTTCATTCTCTCAGAGCCCCCGTCGTCGGCGGGCGCTCGACGTCCGAGGTCGCGAGGGCCAGAGCGGCGAGCGGGGCGGCGGCGGGGCGGTCAAACGACGCCGCGCTCGGTCGACGTAGCCGGAGAGCGTTCGCTAAGCGTAGCAGCGTGGGTAGTAGTAGTAGTAGCAGTCCGTGTGAAGATTCGTTCGACCCGGGACGTTTGGCGCAGAGTACGAAATGACCGCGGCGCGGCAAAGCAATTCCCACCGTGAGGCGGAATCCGTTGTGGGGAGGAAGGGCGAATGATGAGAAACAACGCCGCCCCCCCCCCCCCACCATCGCAACGGAGACTTTTTGGCGACACGCGAAGGTGTTGTGGCACTGCGTGTACGAACAGAACAAATCTCTCGACCTTGTCCAAACCACCGGCTTCGCAAAGGACTAAAACCTGCGGCCATGCTCGTCGTCGTTGAGAACCACCGACTCGGAGCCCGGAAAATGTGGCTCCTCGTCAGCGCAGCCCATAAACGACAAAAAGGCAGCGTGTTGGCAGTTCTTTTGAGCTGGTGGTCTGGACGAGGCCGAGAGCTGTGATGATACGCGCAGCGCTGGTCACCTTTGCGTTGATCAATGTAGGTGACGGCAGACTGCCGTGCTCTTGAGATATTCTGACTGCCCAAAGGTTTGCGTGTTATTTGCTAAGGCAGGCCTGCTACCAGGTGTGATTTGAAATGAATCATACTTTTTTTTAGACTTGTTATCCACGTTAACAAAAAGTACATTTGTGTTGTCTGGACATTTTAATTCATTTAGGGCTTTGTATTAAAGGTAGGAAAAAAATCCCATTTAAATACTTTGCCGAGACTTTTGAAACACCAGTGTGTGTGTGTGCGTGGCAATTGAAACACCGGTGTGTGTGTGTGTGGCAATTGAAACATCAGTGTGTGTGTGTGGCAATTGAAACACCGGTGTGTGTGTGTGGCAATTGAAACATCAGTGTGTGTGTGTAGCAATTGAAACATCAGTGCGTGTGTGTGTGCGTGGAGTAAAATTCGTACGCTGCCTTACATACACATCGCAATCGTCCCAAGCCCCCCCCTCCCTCCCTCCCCAACTTTCTTGATTCACCACAAGTTGGTCGGCACAGCATTCACTCAACTCGGAGGAGGGGATGGCTCGCGATGCACGGGGGAACGACAGCCGGAAGGTGAATGCACCAAGCCAGGCGGATTAGCCGGTGGCAAATTCTTCCCAAACTCTTGGAGTCTTATTTTCACCTACTTGTATTTCATCAGGTAAGGCCCCCCAACCGAGCTATATATAGAGAGACTTTTTTTTCAGAAGCGACCTGGCTATCACAAACGATAGCTCGACGAAGTGGCTTAATCGTCGCGTGGAAATGTTTAGCAGCCAAATACCATAATTTAAAAAAAACGCGTGGCGCTGATTCTAAATGTGGAGTGGGGGAAAAAAACGGAGGAACCGGAGAAAAATCCACGCGGCCACCACGGGGAGAGTGAGAGAGACGCCAACTCTAAAAATACAGCAGGTGTCAGGGTCGGGAACGAACCCACGACCTCCTGTATACCAGACGGAGTAGTTAATATCTCACGAAAAAATGTATATATGTGAAGGTGTTATCGGCCAATGAACGAGTGTTCAGATGTGGGAGAGAACCCACGATGTAACAACTTCGCCGTGCCGATTTCTCATGGAAAGCCAGGGGCACGGAGAACCGCGTTGCGACGCTCGCGTGATCCACCAACCCTGACTGCTGCCTCCGCACACGCTGGAGTAGGGGCAAAGCCACGTGCGGTAGAGCGGAGCCCACCGCCTTCTGTGAATTGTTCAAACGACTCGACTGATGACGATGGTGTCGATGTAGTCGGCTGGTCGGCAGAGGGCAGTACAGCCAAATAAATTGGAAGGGTGCGAGGCTACAACGTCGAGCGGCCTTTACGAAACTCGCACTTGGCCGTCCTGGTGAAGGGTCGGCCAAAGTCAGTCTTTATTGTATCCTTGGAGAAATCCAATGGGCTGCGAAGCTCTCTTTTTTTTACACAGATGTCTCTAAGCAGGGGCGGGTCTAAAATGTACTACAACAACAATACAAAAAAAACTATCAAAGTGCAAAGTATAGGAAAGGTAAGTTCATTAATTAAAAATATATAAACTAACCCCCACGCCCCTGGTGGGAAGGACTTCATACAGCAGTGGATTGACAGGGAATTGAGCGATTTGCTGTGGGGATTTGGGATGTTTGGCCAATACCACTTCACATTGTATGACTGTATAGCGATGGAAGGAGAGCCATGCAGATTCCGGGCGGTATAACATGCAAACCCCACGCCGAACGGCGCCTGGTACGGGAATCGAACCCAGGGTTGCGGCACAGAACGAGGGTCAAATCATGCTACTTGTTTCGGACTTCAGACGATGGGTCGAGCAAGTCTGCGACCTCCGCAGCCTCACGCGTTTCTCTTTTTAAGGACCGCTTCGTGTCTCCCGCCACGATACGAATTGCAAAGTGAGCACATCGACCAACAGCACAACAACAAAACAGACGCCGCCTCTTGATTCTTTTCGACAAACGGCGAGCGTCTAAAAGCCCAACGGTGGTTCCTGCAACGCTCCCAAATCGCACCAAACCCAGAACTCCTTGCAGCTCTGCCCAGGAGTTTCATCTCGACGCCCGAGACACAGAGAGAGAGAGAGTCAAGGACCACGATCACCACGGCGTCGGACCCCTCCACCACCTGGAACCCCGCCATCACCACCACCTCCACACTCGCAGCGTTTGATTATTCAACCTGCCATGAAGCGCCTTCTCAAACACGACATCTTTAATCTTGATTTGAAGCTTTCGTGACAGCAGGAATCCATACTCTTTGGTTATTTCGGTAAAGTCACATAGGTGGAAAAGTAAAATGAATCACGACGTTTCGATCGCAACACAAGCAATCGTCATCAGGTGGGACAACCACAGCATACTTTTTTCTTGTCGCGGTTTGTCCCACCTGATGACGATTGCTTGTGTTGCGATCGAAACGTCGTCATCTGTTATTTTTCTACCTACGTGACTTTACCGAAAGAACGAAAGAGTACACTACATCTTTTTTAAAAAATATTTTTTGACTTTTACTTGAGCGGATCTCTCTGGGATGGGCCCCGCGCCTCGGGCGGCAAGTGAACATTTTGCGCGTTATAATTTAGCGTTGTTATTATTAAAATTTACTACAAATAAATTAATGGTTTGACGTTCTTCACCAAGTACCCGTCCTGTGTTCACATTCATTGCGGCTCTCGAAATATTTCGGTTTTTCTTTCAAAACCGAATTATTGAATTAAATGGTTCTTATTATTTTATTTGCCGACTCCCTTGGCCCTTAGAAAAAAAAATAACATCGCTCCTGGAGCCAGCCTCGCTGACGGCATTGAAAAAAAAAAATCCTGACCACAGGTGGCAGCAGCATCATCATCATCATCCCTCCGAGTGGCTAAATGACAGCGGCGGTTACGGTAATTCTGCCCCCCACGTCCGCATGCAGAGAGATACCAAGGTGGAGACGAGGCCCATGTCGCAGGCACTTGGGAGGTAATGAACTGTGGTGGCGAGTTGCATTCGTATTGTAAATGTAAAAAAAAACATTTGTTATGCTAATAATTCTTGAGATATTTAAAGTTGCAAAGGTCGTGTTTGTCTCCATCAACATCATCCTCACCAGCCATGATCAATCCACTGCTGTATCGGGGCTCTTGAAATCGCGGGTTTGTTTCTTTTACATAATTCGAAAAAAATGTCTCTTGCTGCCAACCCCTGGACCTAGCCTGTTATTTTAAACGTTAGTTTAAACATCGTTATTTTACCTTCGTTTTTTGTTCCGTAATTCACGTACTAAGTTTACACATCCGTGTCTATTTTTCAGTTTTGTACCCCCATTATAACACGTAATTACAGGGACTCCTCTACTTACGAACGAGTTAGGTTCCAGAGGTCTGTTCGTAAGTCGGTTTGTCCGTAAGTCCCAACTTTACTCCCGTCGATTCCAAACACGTACAGCTTGCACACTAAACACGGGGAATGGCTTTAAAAGTTGTAAACTCTCATCTAGATGTAGATGCCACCGGTTCTTCATGCTCTGCAGATGTAGATGCCACCACCGCCATCCATTGCGCGGAGCGGTTGAACTCACGACTCTGGGTCCGAAAAAGGCAACTGGACATACGTACCAGGTTGTTCGTATCTCTGAAAGTTCGTAAGTCGAGTGCTTGTAAGTAGAGGAGTCCCTGTACACTGCTTTCCCCCCTGCCCCAATAACTCTTTACATTTCTTGAGCCACCCTCACAGGCAACATTTCAAAATCATCCTGAAGAGCCACGCGCGGTGGGACTTTCCACGTAACCACCCTGAAGTTTAACAAAATATACGGATTGTTCAATGGAGCTAAGTCGGTGGTGTGACGCGTAACACACAACTGAAGGCACGGCCACCATCCCATCCTGGATGAAAGAGTCGGTTGTTCTCAGCGCGCCCTATGCCACGGTGGTGTTTATTGCCAAGGATGGTGGACATTATGTTTAATATGAATTGCAGATATATTGTAATCGGTTTACATTTCATGCTCGATTGAAGAGCCACTTAACGATTATGATAAAGATGTTACCCACGAAAGCCATGCTGGCGAGATGCTAACTGGCTTGCCATGGGACTCAGTATGGACCTGGTGATGTCCCGTTGTATATTTCTGGCTTGCCATGGGACTCAGTATGGACCTGGTGATGTCTCGTATATTTCTGGCTTGCCATGGGACTCAGTATGGACCTGGTGATGTCCCGTTGTATATTTCTGGCTTGCCATGGGACTCAGTATGGACCTGGTGATGTCCCGTTGTATAGTTCTATTCCGCGTGTTCCCCCCCCCCGCCTCCACATTTAGAAACAACACGCGCTTAAGATTCAGAATCGTAATATTTAAACTGGAGGAATCTGATTAGCTAAAAAGCTTTTTTTTTACCACAGGTGTCCAGAAGGGGTGGGTACGAACGTTACAACAACAAACGGTGCACAAACAACGATTGTATTGCAAAGTACAAGAGATGTAAACAAATCACCCAAACAACATACAAATACAACGAAATATCACCATCCTACCAGGCAAAGCCCACCGAGGTATTAACTTATTGTTCAGAAGCGTGCCTGTCCAAACATGATAGCTCAACAAAGTGGCCCATCATTTGAACATTTGTCACACCTAAATAATCTAAATAATCTGAATGCATGTTTATAAATGTGGAAGTAAAAACCGGAGGACCCGGAGAAAAAAAAATCCACGAGACCACGGAGAGAGAGAGATGCAAACTCCAAATATACAACAGGCGTCAGGGTCCTCTACTCTCGCCCTAGGTCGACTCAGCCTCAAATGAGTACCTGGTGCGTTGTGTAAATATCGTCACTAGGTAGACAAAGGCGGCCGGGCTTGGTGCTGGCCACCCACCCCCCTCGTGTGCCCTGCCGGCCTTCATAGGTGCTCGCTAACAGCACTTGCCCCAACAGAATGTTAAGGCTACACGGGCGATCTTTGTCTTTGTTTTTTTTTATCCTGGCGAGATAAGAGAAATTCAGAGGAAGTGCTGAACGAGAGATCGAACTGTCGAGAGATGACAGAAGAAGGGAGATACAGGTGACAGAGATGTCACGACGGGATAGATGTATAGATCGAGAGACATGGGATGGGGCTGAATGGAAGGAGAGAGACAAGGACGAGATAAGCCAGTGAGAGATTAATTCGCTTTTTGTTGTTGTTTCGATTTGAATTCGAGGTGATATTTGGTGCAGCCCTCTCTATATATAT